TACCAAACGTTGTGAGACCAATAACAAAAAAAGATGTTGAAGAGGTGAAACTGGGATTGAAATGAACTATTATATGTTTTAAGTTAGCTTCAAAGATGATAATATTTTGAGTTTGTGAAAGGAAAGTGTTGATAAGATAGAAAAAAAATGTAAAGATAGTAAAATGTGAAAGTAGTAGTTAGAAGAAATGCATTTGGTAGTTGAAATGTGTTGTGTCTTAGATGTTGTCTTACGTTAAATGGTAGTATACAAGGGTATTTATAGACCTCATTTCACCAACATGATTATTCTAGAAAATCCTAACTACAACCACTTATATGGAATGCTCTGGATTTTTGCTTGTGTAGAATGTCCTTGATATTTACCTCTTACCTTAGTTCTAGAATTTTCATTACATTTCAATACTTTTATCTTAAGCTTTTCCATATTGTTTAAGAATTTGCATTACACTTTAATACTCTTCTTTGATGCAATATCGGTAACTCCAAACATAGTGCTCAATAATTTGGTCTTGGTAACACCTTTGTGAAAATATCTACAATTTGATTTTCTTCCTTCATTTCCTTAACCCATACTTCTTGTTTTGCGGCCTCTTCAAAGCTTGTAGGCTCTAGTATGGCCAAGTTGCAAGATTCATATATGTCAACGAGAGCTCTGACTCGCCTCGAAATAAATTCAAGTGATGATTCTTCTTGATCTTGAATTAATGTTGTAGTTGCAAGAGATTGTGGTACATTGTTATCTTCTTAGCTTGTAGTGGATTGATTGATGGGCATGCAGATTGTCTTCCTCTCAATTTGTTATTCTTCCTAGTTTCAAGTAGCATTTTCATCTACTTCAATTTCCTTGTTGATAGTTAGCTTCCTTGTCTGAAGATTATAGACTTTGTATCATTTTTATTGTGTATTGTATCCCAAGAAGATACCTTGTACGATCTTTATCTTCCAGTTTGTGTCTCTTTTAATATGGAATGTGAATATAGCAAATAGATCCAAATACTCTGAGATGTTTAGCTTATGGTTTCTTCCCGCTCCAAGCTTCAATTGGAGTCTTGTCTTGAACTTCTTTAGTAGAACATTTGTTGAGTAGGTGGACTGTAGTGTAGATTGCTTTAGCCTAGAATGTATTTGATAGTCCTTTCTTCGACATCGATCTTGCTGTCTCCATGATTGTGTGATTATTTCTCTTTGACACATGATTGTGTTGTTGAGTATATGTAATTGTAAGTTGTCACTTTATGCCTTCATCTTTGCAAAATTTTTCAAACTCGGAAGATGTGTACTCCTTGCCATGATCACTTTAAAGTACTTTTATTTGCTTTTCACTTTGTTTCTTAACAAAAGCCTTGAATTTCTTGAATACTCAAAAGACTTTTGACTTTTTCTTTAAGAAATAAAACCTTGTCATTTTGTAGAAGTCATCAATGAAGACGATGAAATACCTGTTGTTGTGATGTGAAGGCTTCTTTACCAGTCCACAAATATCAGTATATATCATCTCTAGTAAGGCTTTTGTTATCCATGTTTTTCCTAGAGAAAATGGTAATCAGTGTTGTCTACGGAGGATGCATCCTTCACATGATTCATTATTCTCCATCAAGCATGGAAGATATCTCACCATGTTTTTATGATATAGAAGCTTTAAGGCAAGTATGTTCAAGTGGCCAAATCTCCAATACCAAAGTCATAATCTTCATGGCAGTACTAGTTTCAAGTTCGAAGCTTATAAGAAAACTTTTATTTATGTTTTCCATTTTTATTTGGCCAATTTCTAACCTTCTACTATCATAAATTTTGCATGTATCTTTCTCAAAGTGAAGGTAATATCAATTCTCCATCATTTGGTCAATACTTAAAAGATTCTCTTTAAAATTAAGAACTAGTAAAACATCCTTAATGAATTTAGTATCTTTCTTTGTCTCCATCATGATAGTTCCTTTGCCTTGAGACTCCATTGCGGTGTCATTTTCCAACCGAACTTTGACATTGACAAATTTATCAATGTCTTTGAAGATGCTTTGATCTTTGGCCATCTGATTGATGCATCCACAATCCAAGCAATAATTGTTGATTTAAAATGTTTTTGTATGTATAGTTTCATGAATAAATAAACTCCTTCATAGTATATGTTTGTTCTACCTCTAATCTTTTTTTGAGTGTGTGAAATAAGAAAATAGAAATCAATTAGGAAAACAAATTGTAACTCAAGAAAGCATGATTGTATAAAACACAATTATTTTTAGATAAATACCCACTTCAAGGGCTCTAGAATTGCACTCAAAGCTGCAAACATGAAGAAAAGACTCACCTGTAAGGTTATATTGTCATGGACCGCCCCTAGACGACCAAAAAATCACCATTGGGTGCTAGAACGACTCATTAAGTAAGGTAGTTGTTCGATGGCGAAAATGATCAACCAAACGTACAATATTCGAGTCGCTAGAAAAAAATTTGGCTCGCCTAACGAGTTACAAGTAAGAGAGCATCAATTTTTAGGCCTCATTGGGCGAGAATGAAGCTGTTAGGCGAATCTGCCAACTGTGATACACGAAAATGGGTATTTAATCATGTGTTTGCAAGGGTTTTCATTATTCTTTATTTTTACACAAATAGAATCACCTAAGGTGCTTGGGAGAGGCTTTTGGAGGTTGCTTGAAGTGTTAGGAAGTTCTCCCTATCCTCCTTCGGTTTCCTCCTTCATCCATGGAGCTTTTCCCCCTTTTGGGAGTTGAAGAGGAAAATAGGCTATGAATTGAAGGTGTTGATGTGAGGGGAGGCACAATTGGAACATGGAGCAACTGCCAAGAACCTTGGGAGAGGGCTTGCATCTGCTCTTTGGTTTCTATTTTTTCCTTATCTCTTTAATTTGTAGAACCCTAAGTTGTCCACCACAAAGGGTCATTCCTATTTTTTTAGAATAGTTTTAAAACATGAAACTCTTATGTAATTTTTTGTTGTTAATAACATATGCTTTTCCAATTCATGTTAGTATTCAATTCCCATGCTTAATGCTTGATGTGGATTGGTTCCATGCTTGATTTGTGGCTTTTGATGTATTGGGAAATATGACTTGAACATAGAATTGAAATTGGATACCTGATGAAACTTGTATCTAGGGATAGAACATGACTTATTAGTAATCTTAAGACTTTTGAACTTAATGCATGATTACTTGTTGAGGATTCAAGGGATTGGAACTTGATGAGTTATAATAGGCTCAAAGTCACTAGGGATAGGATTTAAGTATATTAGTGAGTTGATTTTGACTTGAATATGGAATTGAGGTGTTCGTTAATACATAAGAATGAAGTGGATAAATTCTAGTCTTAACAAATTGTAAATACTCTATGTTACATTTCCTTATACATAAATTGTTTGATAAAAAAACAAAATGAGTTTCTTGTGTTTTTGTTATCTTTGTCTATAATTAAGTTGTGAATTACGAGAGTTGTCAAGTATTGCATAAGTCCCTTGGGAGATAACAATATCACTTGCTACACTACGACCGGTGTACTTGTCATTGATTTTGTAGCCAACACCAAGTACTAGTTTCCTTCTCTGCTGGGAGATTCTTTATTAGCATAGAATAGGCTTTACTCGTTATTATGTTCTTCGTAAAGTTTATTTAATGCTTATTTTTATTACGACAATACTTCGTCATGTGACCAAATTTCATGCAGTACTAACATTGAGATTTTTCATGATGTCAACAATCTTTTTCCAAGTGACTTGTCTTTTTCTTGACAGGTCATAAAGAAGCTTCTAGAATTTCTTTTATTTATAGAAATTTCTCCTATTTTAGTTTCTAGAAATTGACCAAGTTTTATTTTCTTCATATTCTTTATTATGAGACTATAATTTTAGTTTTGATTGAAAAGACATTTTTTACTGAGTCTTCTTCATACATTTTCAATCTTTGTTCATAAACTCCAAGAGAGTTCATTAGTTGTGTTATTGACAATGTAAGTAAATCTTTTGTTTGTTCAATCACGGTTGCTACTGTATCATATTTTTGGAAAATAGAAATTAAAATTTTGTCAATAATTCTTTTGTCAAGAATATTTTGCACATAGGCTCTCACCTGAATAATTATTTCTTTTATTCTAGAATAATAGTCTTTAATGGTCTCGGATTCTTTCATTCTTATTAATTCAAACTCTTGTCTTAGAGAATGAAGTTTAACATTATGTACCTCATCATTTCCTTGAAACTCCTCGTGTTATAGTCCAAGCTTGTTTTATTCTTGGAAAGATTGTGTTATCAATTGCTTGTTAAAAAGCATATAAAGCCCTTGAATTTATCTAGTACCACGATTAGTATTTTGAAGTTGATATGATGGAGAAAATGTTGAGATAGTAGAATGTAAAAGTAATATTTGAAGAAGTGTATTTTATAGTTGGAATATGTTGTTTTAGATGTTTTCTTACATCAAATGGTAGTGTACATGAGTATTTATAGACCCCATTTCACCCATATGATTATTCTAGAAAATCCTAACTAAAACCATATGCAATGTTCTAAATTTTTTATTATGTAGAATATTCTCGATACTTATCTCATATCTTAGACTTTCTACATTATTCTAAAATTTAAGTTACATTTCAATATTTCTGTGTAGTATTGAAATGCAACACCATAAGCATATTTTTCAGAATTTTGAGAATCTCAATTGGAGGAAACCCTTTGAAGTATAATAATTTTCTAGAATCGGTAATAGATGTGCTTCTCTTCTATCAATCATTGTTTAGAATGTCAGCTTTAGGGTGCAAACCAAATTTGTAGAACGGATATCTGGAGAAAATTGATGAACTCCGAGGATAGCAAAGGCACAATTTCTAGCACTGCTTAAGTTATCTAATTATAAAAATCTAATTCTGGACGTATGAGATTTATAATATATGTTTCTTATGCAATGCTCATCTTTATTATATCAATACTTTGTTTAAAAATAGTAAGAAGATCTGAGAAGAAGATAGGTATGAGCATACCCGCAGGATAAGGCCATAATGAAGGTAATGCCAGGAGTAAGATTGATCATAGCCAACATAAACGATGCTGATGTCAAATCCATCGCCACAAGGTAAAGGTTACTGAATAAACTTCCTCTGAAAAAAAAAAATAATCATATATATATATCAGCATCGTTTACATATATGAAAGTGAAATCACTTATATGAAGAATGAGCAGCATACCCAAACAATCCACAGAGGAATCCCAAGAAAAGCACCTTGGAAGTAATCTTTGAGCTATTGTTCCTGATGGAAAAAGCAATTCGGCAATATTGTCTAAAACATTGTAAGATTGATGAGGTGAGAAAGTAAAAGAAAGAAAAGGCAAAGCAATGAAGAACCTATCATATATAAGAGCGACGGGAACAGTGAAAAGCGATGCAAAAAGCAGACGATAGGCAGTGACTACCCTCATGCTCATTCCATCGTTTATGGCTAGCTTGTAGATGATGTTAACAGCTGCATATGCAATCTGCACAAACACCATTAGAATGTATGCTTTCAACTTATGAACCATTCTCTTGTTTATGAATATGGTGTCAAAACAAACCAAAGCTCAATGTGTTTTTGTTAATTATATCACAAGACAAACTTATTTTTTTATGGTTTCTGAATTGCCTTGGTTTCTGTACACAGGTGAACCTCTGTGGTTTTGTAAATGCTACATAAAGTTTCAATTGAGCTTCTCAATGCCTTTGGAACACAAGGGTGGACCACACACCATAAATCATTATAAAATCATACCATTTTTTAATGTGCTCAGACCCTCTGCCTTCAATGGTACACCCATACTATTTATGTTAACGAAAGAGAAAAAAACTAATAATATAAATTTATAAAATACAAGATTTAATAAAAGAATAAAAATAAAAAATATATATAATTAATAATATCTTTTGAAAGGAGGTATATATATATAATACATGTTTTGATCTGAAAATATGAAAATTTAATAAAATATTACACTGTTTCTTTTTATTTATCTCTATTCTAAAAAGCACTTATTCAATTCTATTATACCTTAAATAATTTACATATGGGTTTATTGTATTAGATATAAAGATAAAGAAATAAAATAAAAATTATACAACTTTTATTAAAATAAAAATTCTCAAGTTTAGGATTGAANTTCCCATGCTTAATGCTTGATGTGGATTGGTTCCATGCTTGATTTGTGGCTTTTGATGTATTGGGAAATATGACTTGAACATAGAATTGAAATTGGATACCTAATGAAACTTGTATCTAGGAATAGAACATGACTTATTAGTAATCTTAAGACTTTTGAACTTAATGCATGATTACTTGTTGAGGATTCAAGGGATTGGAACTTGATGAGTTATAATAGGCTCAAAGTCACTAGGGATAGGATTTAAGTATATTAGTGAGTTGATTTTGACTTGAATATGGAATTGAGGTGTTCGTTAATACATAAGAATGAAGTGGATAAATTCTAGTCTTAACAAATTGTAAATACTCTATGTTACATTTCCTTATACATAAATTGTTTGATAAAAAAACAAAATGAGTTTCTTGTGTTTTTGTTATCTTTGTCTATAATTAAGTTGTGAATTACGAGAGTTGTCAAGTATTGCATAAGTCCCTTGGGAGATAACAATATCACTTGCTACACTACGACCGGTGTACTTGTCATTGATTTTGTAGCCAACACCAAGTACTAGTTTCCTTCTCTGCTGGGAGATTCTTTATTAGCATAGAATAGGCTTTACTCGTTATTATGTTCTTCGTAAAGTTTATTTAATGCTTATTTTTATTACGACAATACTTCGTCATGTGACCAAATTTCATGCAGTACTAACATTGAGATTTTTCATGATGTCAACAATCTTTTTCCAAGTGACTTGTCTTTTTCTTGACAGGTCATAAAGAAGCTTCTAGAATTTCTTTTATTTATAGAAATTTCTCCTATTTTAGTTTCTAGAAATTGACCAAGTTTTATTTTCTTCATATTCTTTATTATGAGACTATAATTTTAGTTTTGATTGAAAAGACATTTTTTACTGAGTCTTCTTCATACATTTTCAATCTTTGTTCATAAACTCCAAGAGAGTTCATTAGTTGTGTTATTGACAATGTAAGTAAATCTTTTGTTTGTTCAATCACGGTTGCTACTGTATCATATTTTTGGAAAATAGAAATTAAAATTTTGTCAATAATTCTTTTGTCAAGAATATTTTGCACATAGGCTCTCACCTGAATAATTATTTCTTTTATTCTAGAATAATAGTCTTTAATGGTCTCGGATTCTTTCATTCTTATTAATTCAAACTCTTGTCTTAGAGAATGAAGTTTAACATTATGTACCTCATCATTTCCTTGAAACTCCTCGTGTTATAGTCCAAGCTTGTTTTATTCTTGGAAAGATTGTGTTATCAATTGCTTGTTAAAAAGCATATAAAGCCCTTGAATTTATCTAGTACCACGATTAGTATTTTGAAGTTGATATGATGGAGAAAATGTTGAGATAGTAGAATGTAAAAGTAATATTTGAAGAAGTGTATTTTATAGTTGGAATATGTTGTTTTAGATGTTTTCTTACATCAAATGGTAGTGTACATGAGTATTTATAGACCCCATTTCACCCATATGATTATTCTAGAAAATCCTAACTAAAACCATATGCAATGTTCTAAATTTTTTATTATGTAGAATATTCTCGATACTTATCTCATATCTTAGACTTTCTACATTATTCTAAAATTTAAGTTACATTTCAATATTTCTGTGTAGTATTGAAATGCAACACCATAAGCATATTTTTCAGAATTTTGAGAATCTCAATTGGAGGAAACCCTTTGAAGTATAATAATTTTCTAGAATCGGTAATAGATGTGCTTCTCTTCTATCAATCATTGTTTAGAATGTCAGCTTTAGGGTGCAAACCAAATTTGTAGAACGGATATCTGGAGAAAATTGATGAACTCCGAGGATAGCAAAGGCACAATTTCTAGCACTGCTTAAGTTATCTAATTATAAAAATCTAATTCTGGACGTATGAGATTTATAATATATGTTTCTTATGCAATGCTCATCTTTATTATATCAATACTTTGTTTAAAAATAGTAAGAAGATCTGAGAAGAAGATAGGTATGAGCATACCCGCAGGATAAGGCCATAATGAAGGTAATGCCAGGAGTAAGATTGATCATAGCCAACATAAACGATGCTGATGTCAAATCCATCGCCACAAGGTAAAGGTTACTGAATAAACTTCCTCTGAAAAAAAAAAATAATCATATATATATATCAGCATCGTTTACATATATGAAAGTGAAATCACTTATATGAAGAATGAGCAGCATACCCAAACAATCCACAGAGGAATCCCAAGAAAAGCACCTTGGAAGTAATCTTTGAGCTATTGTTCCTGATGGAAAAAGCAATTCGGCAATATTGTCTAAAACATTGTAAGATTGATGAGGTGAGAAAGTAAAAGAAAGAAAAGGCAAAGCAATGAAGAACCTATCATATATAAGAGCGACGGGAACAGTGAAAAGCGATGCAAAAAGCAGACGATAGGCAGTGACTACCCTCATGCTCATTCCATCGTTTATGGCTAGCTTGTAGATGATGTTAACAGCTGCATATGCAATCTGCACAAACACCATTAGAATGTATGCTTTCAACTTATGAACCATTCTCTTGTTTATGAATATGGTGTCAAAACAAACCAAAGCTCAATGTGTTTTTGTTAATTATATCACAAGACAAACTTATTTTTTTATGGTTTCTGAATTGCCTTGGTTTCTGTACACAGGTGAACCTCTGTGGTTTTGTAAATGCTACATAAAGTTTCAATTGAGCTTCTCAATGCCTTTGGAACACAAGGGTGGACCACACACCATAAATCATTATAAAATCATACCATTTTTTAATGTGCTCAGACCCTCTGCCTTCAATGGTACACCCATACTATTTATGTTAACGAAAGAGAAAAAAACTAATAATATAAATTTATAAAATACAAGATTTAATAAAAGAATAAAAATAAAAAATATATATAATTAATAATATCTTTTGAAAGGAGGTATATATATATAATACATGTTTTGATCTGAAAATATGAAAATTTAATAAAATATTACACTGTTTCTTTTTATTTATCTCTATTCTAAAAAGCACTTATTCAATTCTATTATACCTTAAATAATTTACATATGGGTTTATTGTATTAGATATAAAGATAAAGAAATAAAATAAAAATTATACAACTTTTATTAAAATAAAAATTCTCAAGTTTAGGATTGAAAATATGAATCCTAATATATCAATCTGTTTTAGGAGAGATGGGTAACAAATTTAGGTGAAACACAAAAAAAAGGTCACTAGTAGAAAAGTAACATTCTATAACAATACCTATTATGATGGATGAAAATAATCCGTTATAATAGGTTGATCGGGTGGCAAAATTATAATAAATTTAAGATATTATAACGTAGTTATGAAAATCAGTCGTAATAGGCAATGCGCTGGCAAACTTGTAAATAATTTTAAAACATATTATAATGGAGTTATGAATATCAGTTATAATATATAATACGGTGACAAACTTGTAAATAAGTTCTAAATCTATTATAACGGAGATATAGATTTTTGTTATAATTTCTCTAAGAGATTTCACTTTTCAAAACCTAATGACTTATTCCTTCTTTCTCAACGCCACACTTTCTTCAGACTGAAACCCCAACTCGTAGGGGCACCGTCACCTTTCTCGATTGTAATGAGCCACATCTTCATTCAACATTTCTCTCTCGCGAGAAACACTCTCATTTCGACAGATTTACTCATTTCACCCTCGCGAGCAGCTGAAGCTTCTCACTCTCTCGAGAGTTCTTAAGCNTTTATGTTTTCCATTTTTATTTGGCCAATTTCTAACCTTCTACTATCATAAATTTTGCATGTATCTTTCTCAAAGTGAAGGTAATATCAATTCTCCATCATTTGGTCAATACTTAAAAGATTCTCTTTAAAATTAAGAACTAGTAAAACATCCTTAATGAATTTAGTATCTTTCTTTGTCTCCATCATGATAGTTCCTTTGCCTTGAGACTCCATTGCGGTGTCATTTTCCAACCGAACTTTGACATTGACAAATTTATCAATGTCTTTGAAGATGCTTTGATCTTTGGCCATCTGATTGATGCATCCACAATCCAAGCAATAATTGTTGATTTAAAATGTTTTTGTATGTATAGTTTCATGAATAAATAAACTCCTTCATAGTATATGTTTGTTCTACCTCTAATCTTTTTTTGAGTGTGTGAAATAAGAAAATAGAAATCAATTAGGAAAACAAATTGTAACTCAAGAAAGCATGATTGTATAAAACACAATTATTTTTAGATAAATACCCACTTCAAGGGCTCTAGAATTGCACTCAAAGCTGCAAACATGAAGAAAAGACTCACCTGTAAGGTTATATTGTCATGGACCGCCCCTAGACGACCAAAAAATCACCATTGGGTGCTAGAACGACTCATTAAGTAAGGTAGTTGTTCGATGGCGAAAATGATCAACCAAACGTACAATATTCGAGTCGCTAGAAAAAAATTTGGCTCGCCTAACGAGTTACAAGTAAGAGAGCATCAATTTTTAGGCCTCATTGGGCGAGAATGAAGCTGTTAGGCGAATCTGCCAACTGTGATACACGAAAATGGGTATTTAATCATGTGTTTGCAAGGGTTTTCATTATTCTTTATTTTTACACAAATAGAATCACCTAAGGTGCTTGGGAGAGGCTTTTGGAGGTTGCTTGAAGTGTTAGGAAGTTCTCCCTATCCTCCTTCGGTTTCCTCCTTCATCCATGGAGCTTTTCCCCCTTTTGGGAGTTGAAGAGGAAAATAGGCTATGAATTGAAGGTGTTGATGTGAGGGGAGGCACAATTGGAACATGGAGCAACTGCCAAGAACCTTGGGAGAGGGCTTGCATCTGCTCTTTGGTTTCTATTTTTTCCTTATCTCTTTAATTTGTAGAACCCTAAGTTGTCCACCACAAAGGGTCATTCCTATTTTTTTAGAATAGTTTTAAAACATGAAACTCTTATGTAATTTTTTGTTGTTAATAACATATGCTTTTCCAATTCATGTTAGTATTCAATTCCCATGCTTAATGCTTGATGTGGATTGGTTCCATGCTTGATTTGTGGCTTTTGATGTATTGGGAAATATGACTTGAACATAGAATTGAAATTGGATACCTGATGAAACTTGTATCTAGGAATAGAACATGACTTATTAGTAATCTTAAGACTTTTGAACTTAATGCATGATTACTTGTTGAGGATTCAAGGGATTGGAACTTGATGAGTTATAATAGGCTCAAAGTCACTAGGGATAGGATTTAAGTATATTAGTGAGTTGATTTTGACTTGAATATGGAATTGAGGTGTTCGTTAATACATAAGAATGAAGTGGATAAATTCTAGTCTTAACAAATTGTAAATACTCTATGTTACATTTCCTTATACATAAATTGTTTGATAAAAAAACAAAATGAGTTTCTTGTGTTTTTGTTATCTTTGTCTATAATTAAGTTGTGAATTACGAGAGTTGTCAAGTATTGCATAAGTCCCTTGGGAGATAACAATATCACTTGCTACACTACGACCGGTGTACTTGTCATTGATTTTGTAGCCAACACCAAGTACTAGTTTCCTTCTCTGCTGGGAGATTCTTTATTAGCATAGAATAGGCTTTACTCGTTATTATGTTCTTCGTAAAGTTTATTTAATGCTTATTTTTATTACGACAATACTTCGTCATGTGACCAAATTTCATGCAGTACTAACATTGAGATTTTTCATGATGTCAACAATCTTTTTCCAAGTGACTTGTCTTTTTCTTGACAGGTCATAAAGAAGCTTCTAGAATTTCTTTTATTTATAGAAATTTCTCCTATTTTAGTTTCTAGAAATTGACCAAGTTTTATTTTCTTCATATTCTTTATTATGAGACTATAATTTTAGTTTTGATTGAAAAGACATTTTTTACTGAGTCTTCTTCATACATTTTCAATCTTTGTTCATAAACTCCAAGAGAGTTCATTAGTTGTGTTATTGACAATGTAAGTAAATCTTTTGTTTGTTCAATCACGGTTGCTACTGTATCATATTTTTGGAAAATAGAAATTAAAATTTTGTCAATAATTCTTTTGTCAAGAATATTTTGCACATAGGCTCTCACCTGAATAATTATTTCTTTTATTCTAGAATAATAGTCTTTAATGGTCTCGGATTCTTTCATTCTTATTAATTCAAACTCTTGTCTTAGAGAATGAAGTTTAACATTATGTACCTCATCATTTCCTTGAAACTCCTCGTGTTATAGTCCAAGCTTGTTTTATTCTTGGAAAGATTGTGTTATCAATTGCTTGTTAAAAAGCATATAAAGCCCTTGAATTTATCTAGTACCACGATTAGTATTTTGAAGTTGATATGATGGAGAAAATGTTGAGATAGTAGAATGTAAAAGTAATATTTGAAGAAGTGTATTTTATAGTTGGAATATGTTGTTTTAGATGTTTTCTTACATCAAATGGTAGTGTACATGAGTATTTATAGACCCCATTTCACCCATATGATTATTCTAGAAAATCCTAACTAAAACCATATGCAATGTTCTAAATTTTTTATTATGTAGAATATTCTCGATACTTATCTCATATCTTAGACTTTCTACATTATTCTAAAATTTAAGTTACATTTCAATATTTCTGTGTAGTATTGAAATGCAACACCATAAGCATATTTTTCAGAATTTTGAGAATCTCAATTGGAGGAAACCCTTTGAAGTATAATAATTTTCTAGAATCGGTAATAGATGTGCTTCTCTTCTATCAATCATTGTTTAGAATGTCAGCTTTAGGGTGCAAACCAAATTTGTAGAACGGATATCTGGAGAAAATTGATGAACTCCGAGGATAGCAAAGGCACAATTTCTAGCACTGCTTAAGTTATCTAATTATAAAAATCTAATTCTGGACGTATGAGATTTATAATATATGTTTCTTATGCAATGCTCATCTTTATTATATCAATACTTTGTTTAAAAATAGTAAGAAGATCTGAGAAGAAGATAGGTATGAGCATACCCGCAGGATAAGGCCATAATGAAGGTAATGCCAGGAGTAAGATTGATCATAGCCAACATAAACGATGCTGATGTCAAATCCATCGCCACAAGGTAAAGGTTACTGAATAAACTTCCTCTGAAAAAAAAAAATAATCATATATATATATCAGCATCGTTTACATATATGAAAGTGAAATCACTTATATGAAGAATGAGCAGCATACCCAAACAATCCACAGAGGAATCCCAAGAAAAGCACCTTGGAAGTAATCTTTGAGCTATTGTTCCTGATGGAAAAAGCAATTCGGCAATATTGTCTAAAACATTGTAAGATTGATGAGGTGAGAAAGTAAAAGAAAGAAAAGGCAAAGCAATGAAGAACCTATCATATATAAGAGCGACGGGAACAGTGAAAAGCGATGCAAAAAGCAGACGATAGGCAGTGACTACCCTCATGCTCATTCCATCGTTTATGGCTAGCTTGTAGATGATGTTAACAACTGCATATGCAATCTGCACAAACACCATTAGAATGTATGCTTTCAACTTATGAACCATTCTCTTGTTTATGAATATGGTGTCAAAACAAACCAAAGCTCAATGTGTTTTTGTTAATTATATCACAAGACAAACTTATTTTTTTATGGTTTCTGAATTGCCTTGGTTTCTGTACACAGGTGAACCTCTGTGGTTTTGTAAATGCTACATAAAGTTTCAATTGAGCTTCTCAATGCCTTTGGAACACAAGGGTGGACCACACACCATAAATCATTATAAAATCATACCATTTTTTAATGTGCTCAGACCCTCTGCCTTCAATGGTACACCCATACTATTTATGTTAACGAAAGAGAAAAAAACTAATAATATAAATTTATAAAATACAAGATTTAATAAAAGAATAAAAATAAAAAATATATATAATTAATAATATCTTTTGAAAGGAGGTATATATATATAATACATGTTTTGATCTGAAAATATGAAAATTTAATAAAATATTACACTGTTTCTTTTTATTTATCTCTATTCTAAAAAGCACTTATTCAATTCTATTATACCTTAAATAATTTACATATGGGTTTATTGTATTAGATATAAAGATAAAGAAATAAAATAAAAATTATACAACTTTTATTAAAATAAAAATTCTCAAGTTTAGGATTGAAAATATGAATCCTAATATATCAATCTGTTTTAGGAGAGATGGGTAACAAATTTAGGTGAAACACAAAAAAAAGGTCACTAGTAGAAAAGTAACATTCTATAACAATACCTATTATGATGGATGAAAATAATCCGTTATAATAGGTTGATCGGGTGGCAAAATTATAATAAATTTAAGATATTATAACGTAGTTATGAAAATCAGTCGTAATAGGCAATGCGCTGGCAAACTTGTAAATAATTTTAAAACATATTATAATGGAGTTATGAATATCAGTTATAATATATAATACGGTGACAAACTTGTAAATAAGTTCTAAATCTATTATAAAGGAGATATAGATTTTTGTTATAATTTCTCTAAGAGATTTCACTTTTCAAAACCTAATGACTTATTCCTTCTTTCTCAACGCCACACTTTCTTCAGACTGAAACCCCAACTCGTAGGGGCACCGTCACCTTTCTCGATTGTAATGAGCCACATCTTCATTCAACATTTCTCTCTCGCGAGAAACACTCTCATTTCGACAGATTTACTCATTTCACCCTCGCGAGCAGCTGAAGCTTCTCACTCTCTCGAGAGTTCTTAAGCTGTAAGTCTCCATTTCTCTTCACAAAATATGCATTTTCGCTTCACTCATCATCCAACCACATCTACTGTTAGGGTTTCTCACATACCTTCATCTTTTTCGCCTTTACCTATGATTCCATCGATTGAAACATCATTTTCTACATTTCCACCGATTATAATCACATTCTACCGATTATAATCCTTTTCCACCGATTAAACGTTGATTTGAAGGATGTTGTTGCGGCAGAGGTTATCGCGGTGAGGGCAGCGGACCTGGAGACGGACGTGGCGAGGCTACAGTACGATTTGATATCGTCGGAGATGATTGCCTCAGAGGAGGCGAGGGCGGATGCTTCGGAATTGAGGAAGGATTTAGGGGAGAAGGAGTCGTTGGTTGAGTCTCTAGAGAAGGAGCTGACAGCTTTGAAGAAGGTGAAGGCAGAGGGTGCGGTTAGGGTTAGGGATTTGGAGAGAAAGATTGGAGTTCTGGAAACCAAGGAAATTGAGGAAAGGAACAAGAGGATTAGGTTTGAGGAGGAGATGAGAGATAGGGTTGATGAAAAGGAGAAGGAGATCAATGGTTTCAAACAGAAGTTGGTGGAATTGGAGAAGGTTACTGCTGAGAAAAAAATCTGAGTTGGAAGAATTGGTTAAGCAAAAATTGAAGTTGGAGGAGGCACTTAGAGAATCTGAGGAGAAAGTAGCAGCTTTTGAGAGAGCAAGTGTTAAATGTATTACCATTTACTTTTTATAACCTGATAACATGGGCGACCAATTGTTATATATTGCTCTCTCAAAAGCCGCTACTTTCTCCTCAGATTCTCTAAGTGCCTCCTCCAACTTCAATTTTTGCTTAACCAATTCTTCCAACTCAGATTTTTTTTCTCAGAAGTAACCTTCTCCAATTCCACCAACTTCTGTTTGAAACCATTGATCTCCTTCTCCTTTTCATCAACCCTATCTCTCATCTCCTCCTCAAACCTAATCCTCTTGTTCCTTTCCTCAATTTCCTTGGTTTCTAGAACTCCAATCTTTCTCTCCAAATCCCTAACCCTAACAGCACCCTCTGCCTTCACCTTCTTCAAAGCTGTTAGCTCCTTCTCTAGAGAATCAACCAACGACTCCTTCTCCCCTAAATCCTTCCTCAATTCAGAAGCATCCGCCCTCACCTCCTCCGAGGCAGTCATCTCCGATATCAAATCGTACTGTAGCCTCGCCACGTCCGTCTCCAGGTCTGCTGCCCTCGCCGCGATAACCTTTGCCGCAACAACATCCTTCAAATCAACGTTTAATCGGTGGAAAGGGATTATAATCGGTAGAATGTGATTATAATCGGTGGAAATGTAGAAAATGATGTTTCAATCGGTGGAATCGAAGGTAAAGGCGAAAAAGATGAAGGTATGTGAGAAACCCTAGCAGTAGATGTGGTTGGATGATGAGTGAAGCGAAAATGCATATTTGTGAAGAGAAATGGAGACTTACGGCTTAAGAACTCTCGAGAGAGTGAGAAGCTTCAGCTGCTCGCGAGGGTGAAATGAGTAAATTTGTCGAAATGAGAGTGTTTCTCGCGAGAGAGAAATGTTGAATGAAGATGTGGCTCATTACAATCGAGAAAGGTGACGGTGCCCCTACGAGTTGGGGTTTCAGTCTGAAGAAAGTGTGGCGTTGAGAAAGAAGGAATAAGTCATTAGGTTTTGAAAAGTGAAATCTCTTAGAGAAATTATAACAAAAATCTATATCTCCATTATAATAGATTTAGAACTTATTTACAAGTTTGTCACCGTATTATATATTATAACTTATATTCATAACTCCGTTATAATACGTTTTAAAATTATTTACAAGTTTGCCACCGCATTGCCTATTGACTGATTTTCATAATTACGTTATAATATCTTAAATTTATTACAATTTTGCCACCCGATTAACCTATTATAACGAATTATTTTCATCCATCATTATAAGTATCGTTATAGAATGTTACTTTTCTACTAGTGACCGGTGTTTGAGGATATGAACCAAATAAAACACAGTATCATTGCATCAAATCCAGTTTTGCATTTTGATGCAAAACGGATCGCGCAGAACGGATAAGATGGATTTGATGCAATGGAATGGATGGAATCGTGAGTGGAGTATGCATAGTGATTTAGAATCATGCTAATTAAAGCCTAGAAGAGAAAATTACTTCAAAGAGGAGTGCAGAATTAAAATCCTAAAAATATTCTTGGTAGTTTTTCTTATGAGTTTTTACTCTTATCGTTTCCTTTATTTATGTAGTTCGTGGTCTAAGTGACTTTTACGTACATTCACTCTACATCAACACCTATGAGAGAAGTTGAAAGATTAAAGCTATTCCTCCCTTGCTCCTGCGTGGACAATAAACACGCAAAATCAGTAACTATATTAATAAATCTCAGTTTCTCCTTTTTAAATATAAACATCATATTCAGTCAAAATCTATAGATTGAATTATTATTACAGATATAAGGACAAAAATATTATTAAGCTTTAGAGGTAACTTCGTCTTTTTAAATAATTTTAAAACAAAAGTAAGAGGTAAGTTATTTTTTTTTCTTTCCGGAAGACGTAGCTCATTGTCCTGAAAATAAATTCCGAAAGTTAAATTCAAAAAAAAAAATCAAAAAGACAATTCTAAAAAAAAATCAGAAAAATATTTTTCTTTTTCAGAAATAAAATCTTAGAATATATTTTCTATTTCCGGATTACATTTTCCAGAACAAACTTCCAAACAGGGGCAAAAGTGGAAATTAAATAAATTGATAGGGTGTAAGATGAAAATGATAGGGTACAGGAAGCAAAAGCCCATAAGATATAATTCAAAACTATAGGCAAATACAAACTTTGAATTAAAACCAAGATGCGAAGTATATTTCGGTTCTTTTGCCTAATTTGTTTTGAAAGATTATGAAATCAGTGATTAACCAGTGCTCAAGACGAAGGGCATCATAGAAACTTCGTAGGAGTTATAACTTCAACAACTCTCGCCTGCAGACCTTTTGGAACTTTCTAAAAGGCAACCATACGTCATCAGGTGTTGCAAATAAAGATATTAAAAAATATAATAAAATTTATAAAAGACTTTAAAATGTAAAGGAAGGGACCAAAAACAAATAAAAACTCCCACAAGTTGAACTCATTTTGTCTCCTTATCAAAGCTAAACTGCATGTCTGCAAGATATAGCAAAGGGGCATTTTTCTAAGATAACATATTCTCTGCATAAAAGAAGTTCACAGATCTGTTGCCCATTATTTAATTTGAATAACACTAGCAAAAGTTTAGTATTGTGAACACAAAAGTGGGATCAGAAGCTGATACTTATTCTTATTCATGCTGCATTGCTTCACCAAGTATTGCATACTTTGGAAAATTGCATATTGGTGATAGGTGCTGGAATATGGATGATTTAAACAAAGTTGAAGGCACAGGTAATGTGAAGGCTGTACTGTTAATGATACTGCTCCAGACTCTATATGCAGTGGTGAATATCATGTTAAAGATAGTAGCAGATGATGGAATGAGCTTAAGTATTCTTATTGCCTACCGATTCATCTTTGCTAGTGCCTTCATTGTTCCCCTAGCTCTCATCGTTGAAAGGTGTTTCTCTAATAAGTTAAGAGTTAGGAACCAAAAACAGTTAGTTTCATTTCCCATGCACATAACATAATCTTATGTAGTAATAAAAGCTAATGTTATTTTGAATCTA